AATTTATGTTCATTGGCGCCTTATGATTAGTTGATAGAATCAATAAAAATAAAAATAACAATTTTGCCCCTACAAATGGCAGAACAATGAGGAAAAATTCAATTTGGATTATGATTGATAACGAATTTCACCACAGGGTTACAATTAATAGCTTTTTCACCACATGGGCCTATTTAAAAGTAGGGTATCACACCACATGGGTCTATTTAAAAGTAGGGTATCACACCACAAGGATCATGAAAAAAATTTGGCCTTTTTTTTAAAAAGCCCCTTGAAATTGGATTTTCTCTAGAATTCAATTCATTTCTCTTAAACCTCTAAAATTCAATCAATAACCACATTTCTTGGATTCTGTTAACTCCGTGATATAGGTGTCAACTTTAGCATGTCAAACATGCTTATGTGAAGTCATGTGGCATACATAGAAAGGAAGGGAATTAGGAAAAAAAATTGTCTAATTTAAGAAGTTTGTTTACATGAACTAAAAACTCGATTCTTTTACCGTAAGCACCCCACACTTGATGCCTTCGGCAACCTTCTGAACACGTTGTTGCGTACAACTTGCATCCTATATTGCCCCCAACACTTGTCCATCTCTCGACGGAGTGGCAAATTTCGGCACCTCCAAAATAGCTTGTCCTCCTCAATGCCAAAAGTCCTTTCGACACCATGAGTTCACATTATCTAAGCCAACGTCGCATTGTCATTCCTTCCATGTCGGCGTGGTAGGTGAAGCCATGCCATGGTCCATGTCCAATGCCAACACTTATGGAGTTGATCAATCTAATGGAGATATTAAAGACAATATAATGACCACAATTTGTTTCACTTATTGATCACAATTTTGTATGTCGTTTCAAAGATTATTGCATCAATCGTCCACAACCAAACACTCAAGCGTTCTATTTCCCAAAAAAAAAAAAAAAACACTCTAGCGTTCCTCTTGGCTTCAAACCCTTTAACACACGGTCCACGTGTCCATATTATAGCTGACCATCTTTTCTCAACACAACCTTCGCCGCTAATGAAGCATAACGAAACATCAAAGTCAACAAAGAGTCAACATTCTGACAAAGGATAATACTAAGGAGACTAAATTTGTAAACAAAATTTGCAAATTAAATTAAGTGTCATCAATAAAAATGAACACATTTATCAACATTTAAATTATGTATTACAAGTTTTATCTACCTAGCATTACCCCCGAAAATAGCCTTTAGCCCAAAGCCGCCACCAAACTCAAGAAAACAATTTTATTTGGGTAAATTACACTTTCATACCTTAGGTTTGAGGTCTATTTCAATTCCTTACAACATCTTCAAAACATTTCACTTTCATACCGTAAGTACTATTTTATTTCAAAATAATACCTCCGTTACATTTTCCATCCATTGATCTATTAAATGCTGATGTGACTGCCACATATATCTCACGTGGCTGCCAAATGTCTGCCACATGGCAAATAAAATAAATTTTTAATTTTTTTTAAAAACCTAAATTTTCTCAAAAAAAAAAAAGAAAGAAAATTGAAAAAAAAAAAAAATGAAACCCACTATCCCTTCCCCCCCCCCCCCCCCCAGGCGCCCCCCAGCAACACACATCCCTATCCCTAACCCAAAACCCAAAAAACCTGCTACAGCAGCAAGAAGAAGAAGAAGAGGGAGGAAGAAGAAGAGGAAAAAAAAAAAAAACCTGCAGCAGCAGGAGCAGGAAGGAGAATAAGGAAAAAAAAACCCCAAACCCAGTTCGTCGTCAGAATCTCGTGATTTTCAATATGGGTGGGTTTTGAAAATACTTTGAGTTTGAGATGATTTTTGGACTGGTTTTGTGGTAAATCCACCTAATCTCGAGTGGAATTTTTGTGGGTGATGGGGGATTTTTGGGAGGGGTGATGGGGGATGGGAGAAAGGGGTGGCTCGGGTGGGACGAATTGGGGCTTTTTTTTTTTTTTGTCCTTCTTCTTCTTCTTCTTGCAAGTTTTTGGGTTTTGGGTTAGGGTCGCTTTTTTTTGGTGGGGGAATAGATGAAAAATGTAACAGAAGTATTATTTTGAAATAAAATAGTACTTAAGGTATGAAAGTAAAATGTTTTAAAGATGTTGTAAGAAATTGAAATAGACCCCAAATCTAATGTATGAAAGTATAATTTACCTTTTTTTTTTTTTTTTTTTTTGTTCCGAAGGATAAAGCAAAATAGGTTAGGGTTTTAACCTTTTGGGCATCCATTTCATAGGGTTTTCTGAAAGGAAAAGCTCGGTGGTTTTGCGTTTCATCAGATTTGCGGAAGCCTCTGATTTGGGAGTTGTGTTGGTGGTGGTGATTGGATTTGAGCCGTTGGATTGACCTTTGATCTGGGCTTTTGCGCCCTGCGGCTGGTTAAATCCATGATCATCAGCGTCCCATGGACCCTTCTCCTGTGCGAACCACTCCACCTCTCGAAGAAGAAGATGAGTGGGGTATGTTATGTATCACCTTTCGCATCTGTTTTTCCTTCTTCTTCTCATAAAATCCCGTTGTTTGGTTGCTGAGAAAATTTTGTTGGAAAGTGGAAAATCACTAGAAAAGATGCGAATATTTTTGCCTAATTTGGATGGGTTTTTGTATGTTTTGGATTAATGTTCTTAACCTCAGCCAATTACTGCATTCTGCTTGATTTCTTGTATTGGGTTATGCTTAGGCATTTAATTTGTTTGGTTGCTGAGAAAATATATGCTTGTTACAAAATGGAAAACAGATGGAGATTTTTTGGGTAAATAGATGTTGTTTTGGCATTGCAGCATAATTTGTTAGCTACATGATTTCTCTACAGGATCAGTAACTTGTAGTATCTGGAATGTTATGTCTTGTGAGTTTTAGTGTGAATTGGCAACAAAGTTTAACTTTGGAGTCGACACTTAGGCTCGCGTATACTTTCTTTGTGCTACTCTTGCAATTATCTAGAGGCGTATGTATTTTAGGGTAACCTCTTTGTGGCACATGTTTTTCTCTGTTGTGTGTGACACGTTAAGGTTGATTGCAGTGAATTTATTTAGGGAAAATAATTTTCAAACCGCTTTTCTCCTCCTGCACAACTTATGTTCTTTATATGGCCTTTAAATTGAATAAAATCAATGGAGAACAAGGGGTCAAAATTAAACAGAGTGCAGAAGGAGAAAAGGGTTGTGCTGAAATTACCTTTGTTTAGTGGTGTCAGCAATGTAACGTACTCTTCTGATTGATGCGCACTTAAACTGTTTTGAGATTAATATTGAACTGTTTTTGGCATTAGACACTGATGGATTTGTGATTCCAAGCTTGGTGATTGAAGAGCAAGATAGCAGTAATCACAATGCTCCAACGTTAGAAGCTTCAAAACCACCATCTCCAAAGGTCAGTTACAAGTGCTTGCAAGTGCTGTAGCTCCTTGTAATGAGTAAAGGGAATTACACGTTTGTACCTGATGGCTCTAAAAGTCTTTAATTCAGATACCTCGGAACTGGTTTTTTGTTGACCTTGCATTTCTTTTATGCAGGCCAAAAAAGAAGAGAAGATCTACTTAGGACCGCACGGGGCTCCTCCTTTGCAATCAAAGCAGCAAGAGGTAAACCCTAGTAGCCGTAAGCAGAAGTACAAGCAGAAACTGAAGGAAGCAGATAAGAAAAGTACCAGGACAGGCCGAGAGAATAAGTTGGAGAATCTGAGAGAGCTTGTGGGTGGGAAAGGAAGCAGCAGCATGGCAAAGGGTTCTAACAGGGATTGGTTAGACCCACACTGTCACGAGTCTCAGTTTGAGAAGTGGAACACCCAGTGATTAGAGTATCGCATGTTTTGAATTGCTCGAAACATTTGAATTTGGCATCCCGATCGTGTTAGGTTTTGATCTTTTATATCTATGGAGACATTTGAAGCCATGTATCTTGACAACAATGTTTTAGTTGAATCTTCCACCATTATTCCAGAAGCTGTCGGAATGGAATTTGATTGTTTAAACAAGTGATTAGCGCTGTATTAACTTACTAATTGATTAGTGTTTGAACGCTGAATTATATGTACCGGAGAAACATACGAAATTGTAGAGCCATAACATTCATTTCAATACAGAACTCAATGCTCCCAAAATCAACAACGTAAGATGAATAATCGCTTCTCGAATGAACTCATTCTAAGAGATGCAAACACTTTGCCTGTAGAAATTAATGTAATCTATTGCGTGTGATTGCTAAAGTATTGCTGCTTCAGAAATACCGTACGAAAACTTCACGAAGACTGCAACCGAACGAAAAACTACTTAAGCTACTGCCCTATGGATGGAACAGCAGAGAGAAGCATGGATGCCCTTGGCAGATGTAGATCCTCATGCAACACCCAGGAACTCTAATCCGCTAGCCGAGGGTGTCAAACCGTATTGAGACAAATACTCAGCGCTGAAAAATTTGCTCAGATGTCTCATCCCGCTATCGCATAAAATGGTCACAAATGTGTGACTGGAACCAAACGACTGTGCTGCTCGGACTGCTCCAACACAATTCATGGCTGAAGACCTCCCCAAAAAGAGCCCATCGTTCTTCATAAGAAACCTGACAGTTTTCAGAAAAACAAGCTTGAGGCCAAGAAAAACAACTAACCATTCTTAGTTTAACATTGCCAGGTGAATGTAAGAAATTTATGATTAAAGATACTAAGAATACTGCTTAACCGATTACTTGGAAATGAAAAATATACTAGACGTAAACTAGGAATCATAGAGGATGTTGGCATAAATTCATTTCCAAATGCTTCCATTTTCCGAACTTATCAGAAGGTGGCGGCTATGAATATAAATAAACAAGTGTTGGACTGACCTGCACATTTCAACAGCTTCCCTACCTGTGCCTCAGAAAGCCCCGTCAAGTTTTGCCATCGTAAAATTCTTTGTTATTCTATTGATTCCAATTCCTTCAGTTATCGTGTCAAATGGATTTTTTAACCTTCGTCCTTCAGCCTCCTCTCTGGTGTACATCACTCCCCTTGTAACTTTATTGAATAAACCGGAACCAGGAGGATCTATCAGGAAGCACTTGACGTTAGATTTCTTTTCCTGTTATACAAAAAGAAATATGATTAACACAACTACATTTCCACATAACATAAGTAAAATAAAACAATTGAAAACGGTTTCAGTAGTGGACCTGGAGAAACCTGGAAACACCAGCCAGAGTACCACCTGTCCCTGCTGCCGCCACAAATGCATCTACATTTCCTCCAGTGTGTTCCCAAATTTCAGGCCCAGTACCCTCATAGTGGGCCCGGAAGTTTGCCAGATTTTCAAACTGATCAGCAAAGTAACCACCTGCATAAGTTGAAACCGCACTTTGTTTCTCTTCATCACATTGAAAACCATTAATCTGCTCAAGGGATTGGCCATCCATTTGCTCACCTTTTTTATGTTTTAATGCTAATTCATTTGCTTCCATAGCCCGCCTCCTAGCAATATTTACCAAGTGGTCCCTGTGCGTGATTGACACTGGCCTTACCCTTTCAACAGTCGCCCCGAGGGCTTCAAATATTTGAGACTGAAAGAAATGTTGGCACCACAGAAGTCAATTTCAGCACACTGAAGAACCTAATTTTTAATTTCAATGGAAAAAAAAAAAAGAAACTGGAAGGAGCAGGATCATGGTTTATGGTACCACTGGGTTTCTGGTGTTTGCTCATATCAGATACACCCCAACAGCACCTTTAACTGATCAATAATTTATGAATCAATGTCGCTAATCCGAAATGCATATCTAAATACCTTCTCGATAGCAGCGTCATCAGGTATAACCACGTGACATTTGCAACCATAAGCAGGAGCAACCGAGGCAAGGCTAATAGCCGTGCTTCCAGCACTCCCCTCAGTGACCACTCCACCTGGAGCGAGGCCTCCAGATTCCAAAGCCTGTATACAACCAAAAATCAGAACATCTGCGTGACTCAGAAAACCAATCCATTACAATCAGTCAACAACTGATTATCTAAACTGCTACAAGGTGGTAGGCAGAACAATATTAAGTCAATTTAAATGCTAAACAACAATGTCAAGCATCACTAACAGCAATAATAAGAAGAATACCAAACTTATGAGCAATTGAATATATTTAGGCGCCGTTTGGTAACCATTTTATTTTCAGTTTTCACTTTCTCAAACGGTCCCTTAATTTTTGAATAATTTGACAACAAAAGTAGAAGGGCAAATCCCAAATTCGTTTCTTCAATTTCGTTGAAGTAAATATCTTCCGCAATCATGGACTAGTGAAGATCATAACAGCAGGTTAGAGTTTGTCAAAACTTACTTTCGAGTTTCGAGTTTCGACAAACCCTACTTTCCAGAAAAATTAATCTAAGTTAATGATCACTGGTGCCAATTATATTTTCCGCGAATTTCAACTTACAAATACACAAAATGCAAAATTTTCAAATTTTCCGTCAAACTTGTCAACCAAATAAGTTTTTTTTACCTCTTCAATAATCTTGACAGCAACTCTGTCTTTCACGCTCCCACCTGGGTTCAAAAACCCGCACTTTCCAAGTATATAAACAAACCCAAATATTAAAAAATAATAATAATTGAAGAAATAAATGAAAATCCAGAAAGAAAAAAATGGAGAAAAAGCTTCTTATGGCTTACTTCACAGCCGGTGGCGTCCGAGAGACTGTTGATGCGGATCAGAGAGGTGTTGCCAATGGCACCAACGAGGCCATTTCTGTGATTTTCCTTCGCGCGCAGGGATAGTTCAGTCTTTTTGGAGGACGGCTTGGACTTGTAGAGAAAAAGAGAGAGCAACGCCATAGACACTGAGACTACAGCCACAATAGCGCCCGTGCTTCTCAGGCGCCATTGTTGGCGGTTCGAACCCGGACAGCTTTCGGTACTAAAAACATAAAGACACCACTTCAAACCTGGCGATTTTTCTTGTAGCCGTTCGAACCCGGACAGCTTTTGATACTAAAAACAAAAATTATTATAACTTTTAAGGTTATGTTTGTAGTGTAAGAGTATAAACATGAGATAAGATGATCGGGCATTAGCTATTCCAATCCAATAAGGATAAGAAAGTCTTATAGAAAATGAATATCAGTTCTTGTCAATAAAGGATTTTATTGCAGTAAGTAAACTGATATAGGAAAACACAAGTTGTTTCCCATAAGGATTTTAATAGGGAATCCACATGCTAATATGAGAAGGATATGTGTATATGTATATATATGGCATTCTCTCCTCTCACAGGTGCGTGCTCTTGTTGGAACTAAGTCCTATTCTTGGTTAGAGTAAAAAGCATCCTGACAGAGAGAAGAAGAGTTGCTGCGTTCAGATCAATAGTGCACACCCATGGCTGTTTCCAATGGAAATTCTTCAGGTTAGTATGTTTTACTTTATAAGGATTAGTGTTCTGTGTTTTGATCATGGTAGTGGTTTCTGTAACTGAATCTGATTGCTGGAATAAGTCTAACATGTGGTATCAGAGCCTAGGGTTCATGTTCATAAATTCGATCAATAAAATCGAGCAGAATAAAAACCCATTCTTCAGGTTTCGAAATTGGTTTCAGACCTAAAACTGAGCATAAGTAAAACGGTGCGTTTTAAATAAAATATGATTGCTTGATTCTCGTTGGTTAAGCAATTCGAAACTTATCGGGTTTGGGGTTTTATGAATTGGAATTACGACTCTTCGTTCTCCCTTTTCCTTTCTGGAAATCAATTTTAATATTCTGGGTGTTTCATGATGGTTCAAACCTAATCTTAAGTTCGACAATATTTGTGATAAATGCTTCCGCTGCGGGATATTGATGCTTGTTCTTCAGGTCAGGTTATCGAAACTAAAATTAAAATTGAAAGTCGAGTTCAGTTGTTTTCCGATTTTATTGGTATATCATGATTTGAATAACATATGTTAATATTTTCTTGTTATTTGAAACTGCTGATTGTATGATCATCTATGGAAGAAAGCCGTTTAGGGCTTCGGTCTTCTTCAGAACTAATGCACTGAGTTGTGTATACGACAAATTCTTCAGTAATGGAATGATTGTCCAAAACTACATAATTTTAGTCCTGAGCATTCAGAAGGGAATCTTTTATTCTATATATACTTATCAGCTTTTGTTGTTATAGTTATGTATATGGATAATTGATTTTGATGACATGATGTGCAATTGACTGAGAATAGAAATCAGGAACCTAAAAGTTCGTATTGTGATTTCGTTTTATTCTTCAGTGTCTGCAATATCAATGAAGACCCTCAATTTGGCCAACATCCCAATCCTCACTGGTGGGGGAAATTACAAGAAGTGGAGAAGGGATATTAGTTTGTTATTGACTCTAAATGAGTTTGACATAGCAATTGACAATCCCAAACCTATTATTAATGATCAGAGCACCAGAGCTGAAAAGGCTGATTATGAGAGATGGACAAGAGCCAATAAGGTGGCATTGTCCATTCTAGAGAGTGGCATGACTGATACTATTCGAGGAGGAATTAAGAAACATGATGTGGCTGCTGACTATCTGAATGCCATAGAAAAGAAATTTCAAGAATCTGTAAAAGCTGAAGTGAGTCAGTACATGTCTCTATTGACTACTTACAAGATGGAAGGTACTGGCTCCATCAGGGATCATATAATGAAGATGACCGATGCTGCAGAAAGACTCAATACAATGGACATAAATATTGGTGAAAAGCAGCTGGTGTTCATGATTCTTCAAGCACTTCCCAACAGATTTAGCCAATTGAAGATTTCTTACAACACTCAAGACAAAAACTGGGATATTGACCAGTTGATTGCACAATGTGTGCAAGAAGAAGCCCGTCAGAAACAAGAAAGAAGCAAAGACATTGAGGATATCAACTTTGTGCAGATAGCAAATGAGAAGAAGCTGTTCAACAACAGAGGCTCTTCTGGTTCCGGTAAGAATTCTAAACCATTTAAGAATTCTAATAAATT